AAATGAACAGGAAGGCAGCATTATCGAATGGTTTCAAACACAGGATTTGGATTGAGAATGTATTTTTAATTGAGACATTATTGACATATAACCTATTCGTTTCAGAAGAACAACATAATGGTTCAAGATTTGTATAAATTGCGAAACAATCAACACAATCAGTCTAGTTAACATCCATCACCTCACAGTTAAAACATTTTTTTCATGTGATAAGAACTTTTAAAATGTATTCTTTTAGCAACTTCAGAATATGAAATACAGGATTATTAACTTAGTCACCATGGTATATGTTACACCTCCATGACTTACTGTACCTAGATGTTTGTGCCTTTCAACCCCCTTCACCAAGTTCACCCATACCCTAGTCCTCGCTTCTGGCAACCAGCAACCAGATCTCTGGGTCTGTGGGCATCTTATGTGTGTGTTGGTTTGGGTTATTTTTTTAAATTCCACATATAAGTGAGATAATTGGGTCTTTGTCTTTCTCTTGCTTATTTCTCTCAGCAGAATGCCCTCAAAGTCCATCCATGTTGTCACAAAGGGCAAGGTTTCCTTTTTGTGGCTGAGTAATATTCCACTGTGTGTGTGTGTGTGTGTGTGTGTGTGTGTGTGTCACAGCTTATTTATTCATGCATCAGTGGAAACAACTTAGGTTGCTTCCATGTCTTGGCTATTGTAAATAATGCTGCAATGAACATGAGGGTGTATGTATCTTTTTGGTTTAATATTTTAATTTTCTTTGGGTAAATACCCAAAAGTGGAATTGCTGGACCATATAGTAGTTCTATTTTTAATTTTTTGAGGAACCTCCACACTGTTTTCCATAGTGGTTGCACCAACTTACATTCCAACCAACAATGAACAAGGATTCCCTTTTTCTCCACATCTTCGCCAACACTTGTTAACTTCTTGTCTTTTTGCTAACAGTCATTCTAACGGGTGAGGTGATATCACATGGTGGTTTTGATTTGCATTTCACTGTTGATTAGTGACAACATATGGTAGAACAGAATTGTTGCTCATCTCTCTGCTGCCCTCCTTCTTTGAGTTAAGTGATTTGTCAGGTTAGAAGAGCCTTCAGGTAAAGACTCAATCACATTAAGAGTCATGTGGACCACTTCTGTGAAAATCACATCACTAGCTCTGCACACGGCTAACTGAGCTCTGAATAGGCCTTCCCAGGGATATTACATCAGTAAGTCAGTCCACTACAAAACCAGGACAAATGTGTCTCTCCAAACTAGGGTGGGGGAAGCCTGCCACTCTGCATCATTGGATGGACAATTATTTGTATATCATCTATATATCTATATCTACATGTATCTTCTATCTACCCACCTATCCGCCAATCTAATTTCTTCTGTAGCAAGACTCAGCAGCTTATTAACCGTGAGTACCATCACAGAAAACAAGCAGTACCTCCTTGTGCTGCTCTCTGAGAGCCACTGTGAGTGAAGGAAACAGAGGCTGGGAGATGGGCACACAGAATTGGTACTCCAAGGAGCCTGGGCAAGTTAGCTAACTCAGCAACAGGTTTTTTGTGTGTGTTTATTTTGTATCCTGCAACTTTACTGACTTTGTTGATTAGTTCTATAAGTCTTTTGGTGGAATCTGCAGGGTTTTGTATTCATGGGTGGGGAAAAGTAGGTTTACAGTTTGTACAGAAAACAATTAATTAAAAGTAATAATACCAGAATAAACTCTAGCCCTGTGTGGTATGGCTCAGTTTGTTGGAGTGTTGTCCTGTAAACCAGGTTGAGGGTTCAATTCCCCATCAAGGCACATGCCTAGATTGTGAGTTCATTTCCTGGTCAGGGCACGTACAGAAGGCAACCAATAGATGTTTCTGTCACACATCGATGTTTCTCTGTCACTCTCCTTCCCATCTCCTCTCTCTAAAATCAATAAGCATATCCTCTGGTGAGGATTAAAAAAAGAATAAACTCTGTGTTTCATGTACTCACAACTGTAAACTTATTTTTGCCCACCCCTGTGTATATCATATCATCTGCAAATAGTGACAGTTTTACTTCTTTTTGTATTGGATGTCTTTTATTTCTTTTCTTTTTTTTTTTTCCACTAACTGCTCTGGCTAGGACTTCCAATTCTATGTTGACTAGAATTTGCAAGTGTGGACATCCTCATTTTGTTCCTAATCTTAGAGGAAAAGCTTTTAGTTTTTTACCATTGAGTATAATGTTAGCTGTCATGGCCTTTATTGTGTTGAGGTCCTTTCCCTTGATATTTACTTTATTGCGAGTTTTCATCAAAAGTGGATGTTAAGTTTTGTCAACTGTTTTTTCTGTGTCTATTGAAGTAATCATGATTTTTATTCATCATTTTGCTAAGGTGGTAGGTGACACTAATTTGCAGATGTTAAAACATCCTGGCATCCCTGGAATCAATCCCACTTGATCATGATCATTTTAATACGTTGTTGAATTGGAATTACTAATAATTTTACAGAGGATTTTGCATCTCTGTCAGGAATATTGGCCTGTAATCTTCTTCTCTTGGTGCTGTCTTTGTCTGATTTTGGGATCAGGGTAATGCTGGCCTCATAAAATGAGCTTTGAGATGTTCCCTCCTTTCCTATTTTTGGGGAATTGTTTAAGGAGGAGAGGTATTAATTTTTCTTTAAATGTTTGATAGAATTCACCAGTGAAGCCATTTGGTGCTGGACTTTTGTTTGTTGGGAGATTTTTGATTGTTGATTCAATCTCACCACCAGTAACTGGTCAGTCAGAAATTCTATTTAATGATTCAATCTTGGCATGGTGTATGCTTCTAGGAATTTATCCATTCCTTTTGTTATCTAATTTGTTGGCATATACTTGTTCGTAGTAGTCTTTTGTGATCCTTTGCAAATTTTTTGGTATAACATCTCCTCTTTCTTATTTTACTTGATTTCTCTCTCATTTCTCCTTGGTGAGTCTAACGAAAGACTTGTCAGTTTTGTTTACAATCCTAGGGGACCTGTAAGTATAAGCCTTGCTGGCCACTGGAGCCAGGGGATCTGGAGGTGTCCCCTGGGTGGAAGCCACAAATACTGCAGTGCCAGACAAGAGTATAAGGTCCTTTCTTGAAAACACCAGTGAGCTTGAGAGAGGCAGAGGGAGGGCGCAAAAACGGTGCCTGCCGGCCTCCAACTTTGGAGATGATTTTGGGAGGCCTCTAGCTGCATGTTAAACTAGATGCCTGCCCCTCAGGCAGGTGCTTTACGATGAGAAAGCTTTCACAGAAAGTCTAGGTGCTTTTCCCTCGCTGCCTCTGTGGTCGGCCCTGGCGTGGGGGAGTTGGCTGGAACCCTTGAAGAAGTGCTTCTCAGTTTACTATAACCTTATGGGATTCGTGTACAGGAGCCCACTCACTTTCAAAGCCAGATGTTTTGTGGGGCTCATCTCTCAGGCACTGGTCTCAAAAGGTGAATGCCCAGTGTGGGTTTTAAACCTTTTGTTCCTCAGAGAGAAGCTTGGGGTTTTGAATTCCCTACAGATCTCGCTGCACCATGGGTGAGGTTTATGGTGAGATTGTGTCTCAGCCTCTCCTACCTATGTGGGTATGGGTTTTTTCTTGTTTGCCCAATGTTTAGGAACCACTTGGCTAGTTTTGAGGTTTCTTTCAGAGGAAATTATTCCACGTGTAGCTGTCATTTTGGTGTGTCTGGGGGGAGATGGGTCAGGATCTCTACTTCGCCATCTTAAACTGGAGCCCCAATGGGCTTTAGTGTCAGTCTGTCCTCTTACTGCCCTTGGCAAAGTGATCAACCTCTGTGCCTCAGCTTCCTCATCATTATTTATGTCAACTATATTGGGACTGCAGGTACCTACCTCCCAGTTGTTGTGAACAATGGGGTAAAACTTAAGCATCAATGAGATGGTGATGCGGATGATGAGAGCGGAATCAGGTGAGCCCTGAGGCTCACCACTGTCTTGCTGCGGCAGAGGCCGAGCACTGAGCCACACCTGTGTTCTCTGTGTTCTGCACGGTGAGGGGACAGTCCTAAAGGAAATCCTTTCTGCCAGCATGCTTCTGTGTTTTTAATGTTTTTTTAATCCACTTTTGCTTATGGTTGATTCTTCATTATGTGAATCTTATTAAGCTTAATGGCCTGGAATAGTTTGTTTGGGGTTTTTGTTTTTTTGGCATTAAAGACTTTAATTTGATATATCTGAGAAATAAATGAATAAGTAGGGACTAAACTAAAGCACAGTGTTGCTTGTGACCATACCATCCAAACGAGGTTAAACACTTGTATCACGGGTCGAGGCACCCTTGACCAGAAACTGTTGTGTCTCAGCTGTTCGTTTGGCAGGACGTTCTGCAGCATCGGAAGTGTCCTGCATCTGTGCTGTGCATTGCAGTGGCCATTCGCTGCATCTGGGCATTGAGCGCTTGAAATGTAGTGAGTGTGACTGAGAAACTGAATTTTTCAGTGTCAGTTCATTTAAATTTAAATAGCCATGGTATCTAGTAGCTGTCATTGAACAGCATGGGTCTGTAGGATAATATAGTCTTGAGAATGAATGACTGCTTCAGAAATGATGGAACAAAGTACCAATAGGTTGGGGTGGGTTTTTTTGTATTTTTATTGATAAATCAGATAATACCAAAGAATTTAATTCAAATAAGACTTTGATAACAAGAAAAACAAAGCTCCCTGTGAAATTCTGGGATTCTTTTAAATATCCATAATTCAAAATTCAGCCCAGTAATCTGAGGTGTGTTTGAATCCTAGTCTACCTATAAAGGCTCATTAAATCAAGGCCTCGCCTGTAGTTGGTGCTCAGTAAATGTGTAGTGTGGAAGTTAAACAGTAAATTCATCCAACAGAGGGAAATGTGTGTTTCTAGCCCTGTACCTAATGTAATGACCTATGTGACTCTGTTTCCCACAATTCTTCTACCAATGCTTCTTCTTAGGTGAAAAGAAATTAAGCAAATTATAAGGCTAACAAGCAAACATTTGGTCATGCCATGGTTTCACTATTGCTTCCCCAGGGAAACTGAAAGAATGGTCTTTGGTACTGTACGGCACCTCCGTGCAGCCCTACTCACCCACCAACGAGTTTCCTAAAGTGGAGCGTGTCCGCTACAGCCGAGTCGAAGACCCCACCGATGACTACGGCACAGAGGATTACCCAGGTGAGCTGGCTGCCAGCAGGGACACAGACTAGGGAAGGAACATCCATGCAGAGATAAACTTCTCCCCATATTCTGATGTATGTTCTTCCTCTTTCCTATCCCTCCATATATTTGTATATGTATATTCATATATTCAAATACCCATATTTTTCTTCAAGGCTAAATCACACTGTTTGTAGAGTCTTCATATCCTTTTTTTCCTTAAAATATTAAGAGCATATTTCCCTGTTCTCAAATATCCCAAGGACACATATTTAAAAGACAGCATAATTGTCTATCCTATGATTGTGCTGTAATTAATATTTAATCCAGGTTATGGATTAAATATTAGTTTATGGATTAAATATTAGTTTCCATAGAGTTTTACATGAGTTTAAACAAAATTTATCTGATTATCATTATTTATCAGTCTTTCTCGGTATCTTTAATTTTTTAGACTAGAGTTCTGTTTTGAGAACTACTGCATCAAAGGAATTAGCTCTAGGGGTTAGATAAGTTTTGTCACATTGCTTTCCAATCAAAGATGTACCACCTACACTGTCACCAGTTGTGAGTCTTTAATGCACTCGTTCCTGCCAGCCTTGAGTAGAAACAAAAAAGAATATTTACATATTTTTATAGCTTTGACTGCTAGTAAATACAAACTTTTTCTCTGTACAGCAGGTCCTCCAATACATTTCACTCATTATAGAGAATTGACGAGATGCTATAGGAACTTAACTCTTGTTTATATCAACTAGACTATGGGAAACCTGGTTTCCTAATACACCATGGTGCTGCAGTTCCAGAAACTAGTTCTGTGAATTAAGTACAACTGTCTTTTGCCCATTCTATTCAAAGTGGCAATTTTCTTAGCTCCTTATTAGAATTACATGCATGTTATTGTCTCTCATACTGTCTCATAAATGCTGAAAACATTTTCTTAGCACTTATTTCTGAAATTTGGTTTTAGTTTTGTGTTATGTTTTAACAGAAGAAAATTGGAGGGTAGGGTTTATATTTTCAGATAATAACATTTGTGATTTTAACAGAAGTTTTATCCTTTAAAATCAACTAAATATTCACATGCATTTTTTTTTGTAATCTTGATTTTTATATTCAGTCATTAATTCATCTAGAACTTTGGTTTATGATATAGTGTAAAATGAAGTTCTGTATTTTAAACAGACTAACATCATTGGCTGAGTTACTTTCCTTTTTTAATAGTTTAGGACCTTTCCTTTATATATCAATGTAGTTAAATTCTCACACCAGGGTCTCTTCTGGTACCACATTTTCTGACTTATCAATCTAATTCTTAGACCAGTAGCACCCACACTGTCTTATTTTTTCATTTCATGATACATATTTAATGTCTGTTGAACATGTGCTGCTTGTTTTCATAGAAATTCTTAAGCTCCCCTTATAAATCCCATTGGAATTTAATTTGAGTTTACATGCAATATAATGGAAGAATTACAATATATAATCTTTTCATCCAAAACATAGACCATGTCCCATTTTAATGAAATCTTTTAATTTTTTATAGTGTTTTTCTTGTTAGTGTTATTCCTATTTTAGGTCTCATTGGTGTTGTAGTGGAAAATATTCCATATTTTCTACGCAGTATATGCTGGTATCTAGGAAATTATTGGCTGGTGCATATTTTATATCTATATGACCATTTTGCTTAACTCTCTTACTAATTTATAGGTTTGAGTTTATTTTCCGTGACAGATTAGGTACTGTAGCCACAGTATCTGCACTTCTTATTCTCCTTCCCAGTATAGTTCTGATTCTTCTCTTGTCGTGCTGGCCGCCACTCCAGGAACGTTCAATCCTCCTGGGATATGATATATAACACTCAATGAACAAAACTTCTGTTTACATCAGTTCTGCATTAGAAGAAGTTTAATGTACCTTTAGAGGATATTTTTTTTCCTGCAGCTGTCTGAAATTCTTTTTCTAGATACTAAAGATAAATGTACTTTGTTAAGCACCTTAACAGAATATCTTACATATGTATGTAGTTCCTTCTATTTTAAACAGGTAGTTTCCCAGAATCAATAACACGCTCAGATAATTCAGTACAATTGAACTAACCAGAGCTAGGTTGTACCAGATTTTGTCTTATTTTGCTTACAGGTTGTAACACTGCTGTTCATATTCATTTTATCTCCTCTGATGGGAATAGGTTACTATATGCTCCATTTATGTTTTTGGATATACTTGCTCCTATATGCCTTATAGGATGTTTCCATTTCAAATTTTGGTAATGTTAAAATTCTGAAAAGTTATACATCTTTGTGGTTTTTCTCATCACATCTTCAAAATGTCCACTTTGGCACTTGTGAGATGAGAGAACAAAAACGATTATTCCAATATTACCCTGCAACTAAAATGCTAATTGACATCTGGGACAGTTTAAAATTCTAAAAGAAACAGCACAGCATGTGAACTTACCATACAGAGCCCTTTGGCGCATATGAACACATGTTTTTTGGGGGGGCAGGGGAGTTAATTGTAGAAATCCCTGGTGAAAATCTGGGGCCACTCATGGCCCTGTCCTCTGGAGCTGTGCTGTTACCTTGGTAAAGAGGTCAGGCTGTCTGGAGGCACAGATGGCATCGCCGTAACCGACCTCTGTGCTGTTCCATTGAGTGCCAGGGACTGGGGCACCCAGAGCTGACTGGACTTCCGCCTTCCACAGCAGAGACATTCTCTTCTTGTCACCGCAGCAGACAGCTGAACTGTCCCTAGCTGTACTAGCTATGGAATTCAGTTTACAGATCCATTTTAAGGCTTTTGGGAAAATAGAGATAAACAATGCCATCAAATGACTCTTACAATTAATCAGAAATATATCTCAAGTTTGCAGCATTTTAGAATGACTCATCTCTAGTAGATGATTTTCTCTAAGTAAGAGATCAGGACCAAACAGGCTGTATGTTGATCCCAACTCTTCTAGCTAGGCAAGCCATTGTAACTCTTGGGAAATCTGTTTTCTCACCTGTAGAATGAGGGTGTTGACTACTAGATTTTTCTCTGAGTCATTCTTCCCCCTGTTCTACCATTTCATGTTCTCATAACTCAGTAATTGTAGAACATAGTCCCATAATGACTAAAGGAGACCAAGTTTCAACAGTCAGTCCCTTTGATTAAAATAAGTGTGGTTGAAAACATTTCTGACACCACTGACATACTATTTGTACATTTCATGCAATATGTTTATTGCTAGTTAAAGTCATATGAATTTTCCAGGGGAAAGAGCTTGAAGATTATGAGGCCAAATGCCCCAAAGTATAAAGAACAAGGAAAAAGGGAGCTAGTTCAATAGAGCAAAATGTCTATAACTGTCCTGTCATTAGAAAGCTTTTCATCAATCACCAAATAGTTCCATTTTTCTGGAACCATTTTCTCACTATGCATTCTCTCTAGTTCTATACCAAAGAATATGTAACAAGAGGGATTAGGAACCTTCATCCCAGGTCTGGAATTCTTTAAGCTTGATAGCATTTTTGAAATTTATGTGTAGTGTTCTTTTGTTGAGTTGCCTGTTGGCCTGTGGGTAGGATACAATTTTAAATCTATTATCTGTGCCTGAAGTACCTGCTTTGTAGTCCAAGACTAGATGCCGAACGGCTCATGCCAGATGCCATAATGCTGTTTCTTGCTGGCTACGGTATCTCAGAGGTATTCAGTGGCTTTAATGACCTTGCAATAGACAGGCGATCTGGTCCAAGCATTGAATAATAACTTTCTTTTTCTTTTCTGTCAACAGCTCAACTTCTCATTTTTCCATAAATCGAACATTTTTATCGTTATGCATGTTTAACTGCTGTTGTTTTCTTCCCCTTTACTACAGTGGCATTATTCATTTGAATTCTGAAATATCTGTTATCTCCCACAAGGCAGCCATATGTGCTCTGAGAACCAGGCTGTGACTAGGATTTATATTCTTGATACTTCAGTAATTGAGGTTCCCCCCACGAAAGTCAGGAGTTTGACTTGGAGCTTATAGCCACAGTGAACATTATTCCTCCATCTCAAAGAAACTCTCACTGCACAAGAAAAAAATCTTATTCCAAATTCAAGGTAAAGCCAACCTATTTAAAATCATTCTTCTAAGTGTTGTTCTCATTTCTTCTGGAAAAGGTCCCTGTGACCCCGAGTGCAGTGAGGTTGGCTGTGATGGGCCAGGACCCGACCACTGCAGTGACTGTTTGCACTACTACTACAAGCTGAAAAACAACACGAGGTAAGAGGGAGGCCAAGTCACATCCCCCGCAGCAGACCCCAGGTCTTCCCAGGAGTTCCCAGAGGGTCACTGCGGGCCAGGTATTCCGATGTTCCCCCACCAGGCCCTAAGAGCACAGAAAGTGTGTGTAAAAATTACACAGCTGGGGAAAAGAATCAATTAATTTGATATATGGTACTGGGGGAGAGTTCTACAGATACCCTGAATCACCAGAAAGATGAACAGTGGGTCTTAGAGCAAATTAAGCCTGAAACATCGCTGGAGGCAAAGCTGTTCTACTTTGGGTACACTGTGAAGAGGCGCAGTTCTTAGGAAAAGACAAATGCTGGGAAGAAAAATAGGAAGCAGCAGGAAAAGAGGAAGACCACATAGGACTCGGACTGACTCCAAAAAGGAAGTCGCAGGCAGGAGTCCACAGGAGCTACACAGGGCTGCTGAGGACAGGACGCTGTAGACATCAGCCATTCATAGGGTGGCCAGGAGTCAGAGCTGCCCTCACAGAACATAATACACACATGCTGTGAAATCTGCCAATGTCTTTTTCTCACGTTTGGAAGGACAATGGGGAGAGACTAGGTAGGCAAGTGCCTGGTCTTCCCCTCCATTCTTTTCCACCCTGTTGTTTGACGGTGCAGCTGCATTCTCCCAGGTGCAGGCCTCGACATGCAAAGGCGCTGGTCCTCTCTGCTCCTCCTCACTTTCCTGCTCTGGGCACCAAGACAGGCCTACTCTGACGCTGTGCCCCTGGCCTCTGCCTCGAACTGTGCAGGTCTGTGTCTAAGGGCAGGGCTGTGGCACAGTGACTGTCCTGACAGAGGCCATGCTGTACAGCTATGAATCACACCCCTGCCACCTCCTTCTTCAGGTGAAAACTCACTATGGAGATGTGGCTTGTGGTGACTTCATACTCCAGTCACCCGGACAGACACAGGCATGTTCCAAGGCCTGTTTATATCCCTGCTGGAATTTAAATTCCTTAAAGGAGAGGCCCTTGGCTACTCAGCACCTCTATTATCTCCTAGACTTACTAGCAAAATGCCTGCCATTTAATTGGTACTTAGTAAATATTTGTTAGATGAATAAAACTTTGTCCTTCAATTAAACTTTTTTGAAAAAATAACTATCATAAGCAACAGAAATTCATATATTTATATTAATTTAGACAACAGCATATAACCACCACCATGTACACACTCACACACAATCAATATGATAAACACAAAAACAGAAGTAATCCCTTACTAGTGACCTTTTTGCATAAAATAATAGTTCTCACTACTTTCCCTTGAGATTCCATCTCTAACCGTTGTCCCCTTTAAAGAGCTAGAACCCAACTAAAAAGTAGTTTGGATCAAGACATGCCTTAGTTGGTGGGCTTGGTATTCATAACTGCATTGCTATATCAGCACCCTACACGGGAAAAAGCTTTAACCATCAGAATGTGGCTGTTTGCCTGTGGTGTTACCATCCTGGTTTAAAAAGGGTTTTGAGACCGAGGTGCTCATCGCTCCAAGAGAATGCTGAAGACAGGGTCGTGGGTGACTGCCGTTCTTTCCTCTGTGCCACCACCCAGGATCTGTGTCTCCAGCTGTCCCTCTGGCCACTACCACGCCGACAAGAAGCGATGCAGGAAGTGCGCTCCCAACTGTGAGGCCTGCTTTGGCAGCCACGGTGACCAGTGCCTGTCCTGTAAACACGGATACTTCCTGAATGAAGAAACCAGCAGCTGTGTTACTCACTGCCCTGACGGATCGTATCAGGACACGAGTGAGTTGATTTCAAATATCTGGGTTTTCGGGAACAAATGTAAGGTTTTTTTTTTTTGAGTGACCTGGGGAGGAATATTCCTCCTCCATGAAACCTAGGCCTTGCTTGATATCAACCCAGATCTAGTCTTTTTTTTTTTTAAGAACAATTTAGAATTCTTTTGTAAAAAAGAATGCATGTAAAAAGGCCTGTAGCTAACTGCGTCCAGGGGTCTTAAAGCCCATTCCCAGATTTAGTTACTTGCTAGGACTCACCATGTAGTTGTGCTTATACATTCAGTTATAATTAACTACAGCAAAAGGCTACAAAGCAAAATCAGCAAAGGGAAAGGCTCATGGGACAAAGTCCATTGGAAACTAGGCCTAAGCTTCCAAGACTTCTTCCAGTGGAGTCACAAAGAATACATTTAGTTTCTCCGGCAACGATTTGTGACCACCTATGAAATGTAGTCCACAGGGAGCCCCCTTAGGGACTCAGTGCCCGAGGCTGTTACTGCAGTGTGGTCATGAAGGCACCCTGTGCCTGGACCCTCGCCAAAACCCCAGACTCCTAGAAGGAGAGCAGGCGCTCGGTGTAAACTGTACTGTTTACACAAACAGTTTGGGCATCGTGAGCCACTCTTATCTGTTAGGATGGTGGAGACCCTCCTGAAACCCAAGTTCCCCCGCTTACAAGCAGGCTTTCAGAAGGCAGCAACCAGGCGTGTCCCCTTCTGCACACTAACCGAAGGAACCAGGCCCCTGTGCCATCCAAGTCTGCTTTTCAAAGAGTCTGAAAACATGACCTTCATGTACACGTAGAATGAACACATGCCAAAGACTTACTTAACCCACCAGTGAGGGAACCTGCAAGGTAACAGATGGGTTCAGAGACTAGCAGGTATTTAGTCCACCAGGGAAGGCAAAATTATATCCATTTGCTGAGTTGTAAGCAAATAATTTCCAACGTGACAATCAATACTAGAATTTCAGGGTTCTTTTTTTTTTCCAATAGACATATAGCATTTGTAAGTTTACCAAAGAAAAATCTTTAACATGTACTTCACATAGTTTGGGGACTAATTAACCATCATTAGTAAACAGAGAAAAGGACATTCTCTAGAAAATTAAATAGTCCTTGGGCATGCCTATCTGTTAGCGCTCTGGTACACCCCTGGAAAGGGCTATAGAATTTTGCTGTATTTCAGAATTATCGATCATTTGTGGACAAGAGGATCATACCATGGTGTATGATGATAGTAAAACATCATGTTTCTGCACAATCTAAGAGAGAAGAAAACCCAAGTGTAAGGGCACAAGAATGTGTTTTTAAAAATCAGGCACAAATACTGAAGTGAATACTCTGGCTTTTTAACAAGTCAAATTCTCCCTTGATTCAAAGGTAGACGTTTCTCTGTGCGGTGGATGGGGTTAAGATAAGAGAGCTTAGCATTTGGAGCAATGGTGAGGATTCCCCTGCAGTGCTTCTTGTTTCCAGACTTTGGAACATGAGCCATGACTTCATGGAGAAAGGAGAAAGTGAGAGTGTGGAGGGGGAATAAGAGAGCCACAGAAGTAAGCAGTATTCATTTGGGCGGGGTCAGAATGCTGCTAAGGAGGCTAATCTTTGAAAAAGAAATTTTGTTCTAGATGGTGTATGACAGGATCGAGATGAGTCAGTTCTTCCAGAACCTGGCAGGGCAATAACTAAGGACAGCTGTTCAGTTACTTTGCTGATAAGAGTGGGCTGTGCATCTCTCTCCAGTGTAACTGCCTTTTGTGAGAGCTCCCTCTTTCAGTTGCCCACTCACATACAGCTTAGCAATCACATGTGATCGTGACTCCTAACAATTACTGCTAGCACATTTACAGTGCTTTACATTTCATACAATTCCCTTGAATAATTTCATTAAGTCTGCAAGACAAGCTGAGATGCAGGCATCATTCTAACATCCATTTAATATTTCATAGGTGGAAGAAGAAAGACCCTGAACTTGCCTGCAGGAAATGCTAAAAGCAGAGCACAAGTCCAGGTCCCATGCCCTGTTCAGTATTCTTGGTGACACAGTGCAGGGTGGGGTGAGGCATGTGGTAATTACCAGAAAGTTGTAAATGACTTAATATTTCATGTTGAGGGGCTCAGGCTTGAGAAAGAAGATGGACCTCCAGGAGGTCCTTACAGGGATCATTAAAGCAGTGTTTCTCTGTGAAACCTGAAGAACCCCAATATTTTGAGTACTGATAAGAGGAGGAGAAGCCTATGAACAGCCAATTGTAAACATACATGTGGTTATAATGTACATAAGTACATTCTCAATACCTTAGAGAAGGTATCACCTCTCCAGAAAAATTTCATCTAAGGTAAAAGACCTTACTTAACAAAACAGTTTACCATTTTTCACCATAGAGCAATTATGCATTTGCCATTTTTTCCCTAATGGGGGACCTGTGTTTTGTATTACACAGGAAAGCCAGTATTCACAATATATTTGTTTAGTCAAATACATTGCTATCTCCAGAATACAGATATTACTGAAACATAATATTTATACCAATTTCACAGCCACTATAAAGTAAAGACAAGACACTATTCTAGACAATGCAAGAAATAACCCTTACCTTGCATTCTTAAGTGTGGGTTTCCTTTTACAGCAGAGCTCCTTGGAGGAGTACTCAGAGCTGTGAGCGCAAGGGGGCCTGTCATTCCTTCCCACAGCCACAGGCACTGCTTCTCAGCCCTGACACAGCAGCACTGCCCCGGCTTCACTGGTGGGATTTTCATTGCTGGAGGCTAGGAAACCCTGCCTGGGAGAGAGAATGGGAAGAGGAGGGACTGGCCAATAAACTATTCGCTAAGAATTAAGTGGGCTACAGTTCTCTCGCCTGAAAAATGGTAGGTAGCCCTCAGGTCTTTGACCCTGCTGCAATTCCTACCTGCATTTGTTGTTGAGAAGCGATCACCAGTGTTGACTGTGGGGCTTTTCCTGCAGTTTCTGCCCAAGGCCAGGTGTACTACAGTAGACGTTATTAGCAAAGGTTGGAATAGCTTCATAAACTTGTATGGAATCCAATGGACCAAATGATTTTATAACCTTGTTACTTTTTTTTTAACAGAAAAAAATCTTTGTCGGAAATGCAGTGAAAATTGCAAGACGTGTACTGAATCCCACAACTGTACTGAATGCAGGGATGGGCTGAGGTAAGACAGTGAAGGACCATGTAAGTGACGTGGCCCAGGCACCTCTTGTAGACATATCCCTCCCACCATCACCCTGGGTTTGACTCCCATTCAAACACTTGATTGCTATTTGCAGCATCTCTACCATTATATGTGAAAAAATGAATGTCATCTTGGCTAAGGAAGGTTTATAAACCAAATAAAATTCTCTCTGGAAAAGATGGCTCAGACACAAGCAAATCAAAATGGCATTTGAGAGGCTTTCTTCGTGCTTTTTAACTGGCACTGGCCAGTCAAGAACTGCTGTGAAGGTCATACCAATGAGTTACATTTAATCCCCCTGATTCATTCCTTCAATGGTCAGAAACTCTCCCCTTATCTTCATTATTTCTCTCCATATAGCCAATCATTCTCTTATCTTAAGAGCCTCGGGCTTGGTTCCTTTATGCTATCATCTGCATGTAGATTTAACACCTAGAGGTATTTCCCTTAAATGAATGACTTGGATATGGCTAAAGCCAGATGCAGCAGGTGCTCCAATAACTCTTACTTATATCAGTTAGCCTGTGGTAAAATTGCTTTTGGTACACATCGCTTTGCTTCAAGTCACAGAACCTACTGGCAACAATTAGTGAGGTCTTACTGTAGTTGATAGATTCTGTAAGAGAAAGACAATGCAGCTCAAAAGAATTATGTAGTCTCTCTTGATTGGAGAAGGTCAATCCATCCTACGCTGAGTGAGGAGTTAGACTCTGGGTTTACATAGCCCTGGAGCTCCACTGCACTCCGTCCCTTGTAAGTGTCCATGGTACCTCTGTTTCTACCTTTGATTAGAGGTGAAATAAGCAAGGTCCAGGCAAGTAAGTCTTTACATTAGTAATATTGCAACATCATTTTTATTTAAATTAATTACCTGTAGCTTTATTTTTCATAAGTACATTCAGTATTAGTTTGTTTAGCACCTTTCATCTCAAGCGAGTCTTGACAAATATTAGTCTAGTCAGCCTAATTTTTTTTAGAGAAGCAGAGGATTGATATAATAAGAGAAAAGATAGATGTGGATTCAAATCCTCCTCTGCTGTTTATTATCAGCTGTGTGACATTGGCCAAGTCACTTAGCGACTCTGACCTTCAATTTTTTCATCTATAAAATGGTAATAACCCCTATGTTCTGGGTTATGATAAGGATTAACCATGATACATTTACAAAGCACTTATCTGACACATAATTGGTCCATGAGAAATAAAAGATTATTTAAGATTATTTTCTATGTTTCCCAGGGAACATTTTATAAAGTAAGTTAACCGGTACTCTCTGATAGAAATGAGAGCCACATGTGTTAATTTAAGTATGCCAGTAGCCACATCAAAAGAAGTTAAAAAGGTACAGATGGCATTTATTCTAATAAAATATCATTTCAACATGTAATTCATATAAAAGACTCTTAGTGATATATTTTACATTCTTTTGTTGTTGTTGTTGTACCACATCTTAGAAATCTGGTATTTTAACCCTAAACCACCTCTCAGTTCAGACAGTAATTTTTTTACCTGTATTTAGATTTTATAAAATTTAGTTGAATAGCGCTGGCTGGTGTGGCTCAATGAATTAAGTGCCAGCTGCGAGCCAAGGGGTCACCAGTTTGATTCTCACTCAGGGCACATGCCTGGGTTGCAGGACAGGTCCCCAGTGGGGGGCGCACGAGAGGCAACCACACATTGATGTTTCTGTCCCTCTCTTTCTCCCTCCCTTTCCCTGTCTATAAATATAATAAATAAAATCTTTTAAAACATTTTGTTGAATAAGTAGCCAAGTCATTCTAAACTTACTCAGAATTTTGCCAATAACTGAAGTGCCAGTTCATAAAATGTAGACTGAAATTAATTAAAATTTAGAATTTAAAATTCCATGCCTTAGCCAAACTAGGAGCCACAAGTGCTTGAGCAGGTAGGGCAGCGCAGGTCTAACCTAGCTGGTTTATCACAAAAGAACACACTGCAGCCTCTGTCTCTTACTGGATAAATACCAGTTTCAGAAGTTATGTCCTTTATTAGGAAAACTAGGCAGCTTTTTAAAAACTTTGATAACTTTTTCAGGAGGTCCAATGTCCTCTCACAAAAAGATCCATTTGATGCAGTGTCCTTTTTTCTAGCTCTACAGAAAAGGAAGAGGTGCTTTGTTGTTGTTTTTCTTTTTAAGACAGCTCTCTCCAGCAAGTGAGGATATCTGGTAATGGAGAACACTCTCAGTTACATTGCCATTAGTCTCATGAAGGCTCCCTGTACTCTTCTTAGAGGCTTCTAGGTTGACCATTTTGCCTGGAGACCTCTAAATTTTTAAATAATGGCTAAGGACAAACATGGACAAACAATATCTTTACATTAAATACTAGGAGGAAATGGATTACAGTGTTTACTGGTCTGTTTAGAATTCTTTCATCTACTATGGTTTTGTTTACTGAAATAAATTTTACTTTGTAAAATCAGTATGACCCACATCTAAGGCAAAGCCCAATAAGATGTGAAATGGAGCAGTATAAAGAGCTTAAGCAAAGAGAACCCATCTTCTGGTATCGTCTGTGTGGTGATCTAGGATTACAAGGCCTTCTCCCTGGTTCCAGCCACACTATTTAGTTAAGTGTGTAATCTTTGTATATTAAGTAGTAAAATTCTATTAATTTATTTTGAATTTTAAGAATCCATCTCTAAGGCTCTGGCTGGCTCAGAGTAGCTCAGTGGATTGAGCACGGGCTGCGAACCAAAGTGTCGCAGGTTCGATTCCCAGTCAGGGTACATACCTAGGTTGCAGGCCATGACCCCCAGCAACCGCACATTGATGTTTCTCTCTCTCTCTCTCCCTTCCCTCTCTAAAAATAAATAAATGAAACCTTTAAAAAAAAGAATCCATCTCTAGGCTATGAAAAATATCATAGCTGATAGAATTTAAGAGAATGAAAAAATATGGATTTCTTATTTGACATTCTAGAAACTCATTAGATACTAAGTATGCTAGATAGAGAAAAAATGGTACAGATTATGTCTAGAAACACTAAATAGTAATATAATTAAGAAAAGTTGAGATGTTTGAGAAAGCAGCAGAGTAGGTAGATACTTATGCTAAATTATTCTTTAGGATTTAAAATAAATCAAGAAATACAGGCAAAAGTACCATATTTTCAGACAATAAGACACACACCCCCCATTTGGGAGGAATAATGGTTGTTAATGCTGCTGTTGAGTTCTGTTTACATTTACATTGGTGAAATATTATGCTATTTATGTTACTAAATATTTTACCACACTTTTTGCTTCAAAAATTTTTTCCCTATTTTCCTCCTCTAAAACCTAGGTGTGTCTTATGGTCTGAAAAATACAGTATATTAAAATTCTGTTGTAGAGGCCAACAAGAACTAAAATCAGAAACACTTTAAAAAAGCCGCTCGTGAGAGTTCAAGCAGGTTTGGTTGTGCCCTCTTATTCAGTTGTAATTCATTTACTGTGTGTTCTTACTGTATTTTTAATTATGAAACAACTTTTTAATGTATTATGTGGTAGGTCTGGAAGGTCTGGATATCAGGGAGTTGTTAAGCATATTATTAGGTAATGGGATTGTTTTGTCAATACAATACTTTTTAAAGCCTCTGGGTTGTAAGGTATGTCAGCCAGTCGAACAATTCAGAGCAATGTCCCCAAAGCTGCATGCATGTGATGCAGACGTCATTACAGTGAAGCACTGTGGCATCAAGAGGCAAAAACTAGAAGGTACGAGGGCTATTTCTTCTGCATTGAAGCTTTGCCAAACCCACAAGTGTCAGGAGGGAACTGTATTTGTTATGGGTGGAACTGGGGAGTCAATACTCATTGCCCAATCACAGCAGTCTGTGTCTGTGTCTTCAGCCTGCAGGGGTCCCGGTGTTCCATCGCCTGTGAGGACGGCCAGTACTTCAATGGCCAGGACTGTCAGCCCTGTCACCGCTTCTGCGCCACTTGTGCTGGTACCTTCTCCCCGAGTCCTTCCGTTTATTCCTCTGGCTCTGGTTTCACTTTTGTTGACCAGTTTTTAACCATCACTCATGCAAACTCACTTGGTATTTTTTACAGTAGCTGGAGAAGTCTATTTCTCTTCCAGTAAGCACGCATGTATTCTCATTGAAAGTCAGTCCTCAGCATGCTATCCTCATTGAGAAACCTAAATACCCCAGTGATACCTCCTTCTCTTTCCAAAAGATTTGATGGTCTTTGAAAATGGGTTCAATTTAAAATGGGGGGGGGGGTGTTTTTTCCAAAGAATGTAAGAAAAAGCACAAATTTTATAACTCCTAAAATTACAACATATTAATGGCATTTTCACAAACTGTGAGAAGCAGCCCATCATGCCACTTCTGAGGTTTTGTTTCTGTCTCCTGCATTTGTCTTGCTTTAAAGGGGCAGGCGCTGATGGGTGCATTAACTGCACAGAGGGCTACTTCATGGAGGATGGGAGATGTGTGCACAGCTGCAGCATCAGCTATTATTTCGACCACTCGTCAGAGAATGGATACAAATCCTGCAAAAAGTGAGTGCATGTGCCCCTCAAACCCTAGCATTTGGTTACTGGGTTCCTTATTTGACTGCCTTCATAGATACCCTGAAACTTAAAATTATTAATGATAAAATAAGATTCAAACATTTACCTATGGAAACTGCCCTGCAGCTTAAACCCAGTTTATCTCTGATATATCTATATCTATATATATATCTGTAATCACACTGTCTACCTGCTAGGTTTTCTTTAATGTTGCCAAACCTAGGAGTTATTTTAATAAAAGATTTCTGTGCCATCTTCAAAGAGAGATTTAAGCTTAAGACAATAAGAGATTGATAGTAAACACAGCTTTTCCTGTGCCTGATGTGTGAAAGGATGATAAATTCTGTGTTTTCCCCGTAGATGTGATAACAGCTGTTTGACATGCAGTGGACCAGGGTTCAAGAACTGTACAAGCTGCCCCAGTGGGTATCTCCTAGACTTAGGGATGTGTCAGATGGGAGCCATCTGCAAAGATGGTGAGTACAACTGCTCATTTTTGTCTTCTAAGTGAAGTGCCATCTTTCTACTTTAAGGCTTAATAATATATTTCCACTTAAAAAGGAAACTAGCAGGCGTGAGTCAGGCCATGCCTGGTATGTCATTGGTATTCATTCATCTTGAACTTATGTCTTCAGTGGGTTTGTTTTTTGGTTTTAGGGTATTTTTCATTGTGAGAAGGGATAACTCACCTGTAGTCCCACTGGAAGATGCACAGCAAAATGGAGCAGAAAGTGCAGGGAGTTGCCATGTATCCCCTGAGCTCAGGCACACGCACGGCCTCCCCTGCTAGCAGTACCCACCCCAGAGTGGCGTGTGTGCTGCAGTCAGTGAACCTGAACTAGCACAGCATTTTCACCCCAAGTCTGTAGTTTACGTTAGGGTTCACTCTTGCTGTTGTATGTTCTATAGGTTTGGACACATACATCATGAGGTGTAGCTACCACTTTAGTGTCCTACAGGACAGTTTCACTGCCCTAGAAATTCTCTGTATTCCACCTGTCATCCTTTCCTCCCCCAGTCTCTGAAGACCACTCATTTTTTACTCTTCAATACATTTGTCGTTTTTAGAATGTCATATATTTGGAATCATACAATATATAGCCCATTCCAATTACTTTTTCATGTATTTCTTTCCCATCTTTTGCCATATACACATGGAATTTTGTGTCCTACTTTTTGCACTAAGTATTAGATATAAACATAGTCCTATGTTTTCCAAACTATTTAGAAACTCCACTTTTAATAACAGCATAAATATAAATTCATGTGGGGATGCCACAGCTTATTGCCACTCTATCATTTGCTTTAAGAACAAATAGTAGCTGAATCTTCATTAGGCCCATGAAGATAAGAATTAATGACAGAAGCAGGTAATTTTGGTCCACTTTTCTTTCTTTGCACCAGTGATTCTCAACCAAAATGCCCGGACCTCATACCATCCCCAAAGACTAGGCTTACTTCGGTCTTAGGGTTGAGTCTGAGCATGAATATTCTTAGGAGTTTCTCAAATGCTTCTCCGTACAGCAGGGTTGGGACCCTCTGACGACTCCATGCCCCTGACAATTTGGCAAATGCCAAATTCCCTCACTTCTCTACCTCCAGTTTCCCCATCTATACAATGAATGACTTTAAATCATTCCAACTCCAACATTTTGTGAACTATAGCTCTCATTATAATTCACACTAAGGGGGCCATAAACTTTGTGCCTATATTTTATGCAGACAATATATATCATGTAGAAAAAATTATTTTGAACCATTGTTGTTCTAGATATCTTTGGATTGTTGGGAAAATAAACAAAATAAGCATGCATTTAGAACAGTCCTACCTGGCAAGGTCATTCCTTTGGGTTTATTGTCTTCCTTTGAATGGCTCCTCTTCTAGAAGTTGACAAGAGGCAGAACAGAGCTGTGGTTGGGAGAAAGTGGATTCAGGCATCAGAATGCTGCTGTTCACATCTGGGCCCCAGGCCTTGGGTGGGTATGAAACTCTATGGGCCTTACTTCCCTCATCTGTAAAAGGAAGACACTACTGACCTCGTTTGGCCATTCCACAACTATTAGGAATCCCAGAGAGACTTCAGAAAGAACTGGGCATGCAATGGCACTGACAGAATACCACTTATGGTCTCGTTTCCATGGAGCATCTTAGGTGACTTTGCATCTTCGTAGCTTTTCTGATGTGTGGTGGGTGTGGCAGGGCAGGCCAGGCCCACTCAGGCTCTGTGTCCAAGGTTTTCCTGACCAGAGCCGATTCCCACCACATAACACTGGGGTGAGAGGGTTGGTTAATAGCATCCCCGTGACCACACGGGTATCACTTTTTAATTATCGCCAGTAAGTGCCCTTTACCCTTGAAACCAGGGTTCCCCTATATCTGAGTTATGGGCAGAGTTTTTATAAGTTCGTAGCCTGAAAACAGAGGAATGTTTTTTTTTAAGTGAACTGACACAGGAGATCCACTGTGACTTGAAATTTTTACCCATAGCACTTGGTGCCAGTTATTTTAAGGTCTGTGATACTTTAACTCCTTTCTGAAACCATGATAAGCATGGAATAAATTATGCCAAATGACACTTGGGTAAAGTGGAGTATTGGGATTGCGGGCAGTATTGAAAAAGGAACAATTTGTGATGAGTCCATTTTCAGGTCAGTTAAGGAAAAAAGTATTGAACTTCTGCTCAAGATGGCAGAATTAGGTAAACACTGTGCTCATCCCCTCCCATAACCACATCAAAATTACAACTAAATTGTAGAACAGCCATCATTGAGAATCGCCTAGAGACTAGCTAAACTGAATTGTTATAACTAAGAATATGAAGCAGAAGCCACATCGAGACTGGTAGGAAGGGCAAAGACACAGGTCCCACGCTCAGTGTGGTAAGAATCAGGATGAATATCTCAGCTGCAGAGGTCTGCCCTGAGGAGAGAGAAGTCCTCATAACATCTGGCTATGAAAAACCGTGGGGACTGCGTCCAAGAAAGACAACAGGCTGCTAGGGACCTAAGTGCTATAGATCTCAGAAGACCTACCATGTTTTTCAGACTATAAGATGCACCTAGTGTTTAGAGGAAAATAGGAAAAAAATTTTTGAAGCAAAAAATGTAAAATATTTAATAACATAATATTTCACCAATGTAAATGTAAACAGAACTCAACAGCAACATTAACAACCATTATTCCTCCCCCAAATTTGGGAGAGGGAGTGCATCTTATAGTCCAAAAAATATGGTAATCACAGATTCCCTAGCTCACAAATTCACTTGCTCTGAGCTCCAGCACAGGGGTAGTAGCTCAAAAAGCATCAGGAACATACAAGGAAACAAGCTGATTAGCTTTAGAGCAAGGGCTAGAGGGTTAGAGCAGCTCTATCCAGAAGTAGAAGTGCTGGAAGATGCTGTTGAGCCCTCCCCCCAACCCAGTCACAGATGAACACCAAATCCAAACTGTCGGTTAACCTAGATAACACTGTTTTCCCTACTCTGGTGATTCCATGGAACTCCACCCCACCCAAATCACACATCCGGATTGAACCTCTTTCAGCAGCTTTTCTATAAAAGCAGCCTGCCTGGATTGCGCCGCAGATTTTCCTAAAAATTTTCAAAAGTCCACAAACCACAAAAAAGCACCAGCTATCCACTTGCCATCTTCCTCTTGCTAAGCAGCCACAAGCCCAGCACTAGTGGCAGACAGCCTTGGTTCCCAGCATAGCCTCTCCCAGGCACCTGCGAGCCCAGCAGAGATGGTAAACAACTGCAGATCATGTTGTAGCTCCGACCACCTGGCCTCAGGCCAGGCACAGGCAGTGAAGTTGGTCTATAACAAAGCCTCGCCCAGGAGGCCCCAGAACCACCAACGTACCGAGTGGCCAGCTTCAAGCCATACCACAGCAACACCCAACCAGCATCTCAAAAGACATTTCTGAAGGGCAGACATGGCAGGCACCAGAACCCCACTAAAGCAACACCCTCTCTGTGGAATCAGCCCCCGCACAACTCATCCAGTGTAGTCACGGCCAGTCCTCACAGCCATTAAGCTACAGGGTCAATCCCACCCACTGATGTGCCAACAGCAATTAAGACTCAACTGTAACAGCAGGGTACACAACCCAAACAAAAGGAACCAGACTTAAGTAACCAGGAGACTGTGCCACCAGGCCCCACGGGACACCTACTTCATAAGGCCATCCTGCCAAGATCGGGAGAAGTAGCTGATCTGCGTAACCAAAAGTGCAGAAACAAACACATGAAGGCTGCCAAAGTGAGGAGACAGAGAAGCATGCCCAAAATAAAAGAATGGGATACAACTCCAGAAAAATAGCTACACGAAGTGGAAGCAATCTGCCAGATACACTGTTCAAAACGCTGGTTATAAGGATACTCAGTGAACTTAGGGGATGAAAGATGAACTCAGTGAGAGCTTACACAAAGGGATAGAAACCACACACACAAAGAAAAAACCCTGTCAGAAATGAAAAATACAATAATGCAATGAAGAATACATGTGAGGGAATAAACAGATTAGATGAAGCAGAGGATCAAAATCAGTGACCTGAAAGACAAGGTAGCAGAAATACCCAATCAGGAAACCAAAAATAAAAAAGGATTTTAAAAACTGAGGATAGTTTAAGGGGCCTCTGGGAAATTATCAAGCATAATGACATTTTCATCATATGGGGCACCAGAAGTAGAAGAGAGAGAACAAGAGATTGAAAACCTATCTGAAGAAATAATAACTGAAAACATCCCAAATATGGTGAAGAAAATGGTCATACAAGTCCAGAAAGCACACAGAGTCCCACACAAGATCATCAGGAAATACTACATACAATTATATGCCCAAAAATTGGATAACTTGGAAAAAATGGATAAATTTCCAGAAACATACACTCTTCCAATACCAAATCAAAAAGAAACAGAAAATCTAAACAAACTAATCACTACTAACTAAATGCATCAGTAATCAAAAAAACTCCCAACAACAAACAAAAGTCCTGGACCAGATGACTTCACAGGTGAATTTTACCAACATTCAGAGAAGAATTAATATACTATTCACAAACTCTTTCAAACAACTGAAGAAAAGGAAAGGCTACCATACTCATTTTACAAGGCTTTCATTGTCCCAATTCCAAAACCAAAGACACTACAAAAAAAGAAAATGATAGGCCAATTCCCCTGATGAACACAGATGCAAAAATCCTCAGTCAAATATAAGCAATCAAAATTCAGCAATACATTAAAAAGATCTTAGACCATAATAAAATGGTATTTATTCCTGGTATGCAAGATTGCTTTAATATCCACTAATCAATTAACATGATACACCATACATACAAAATGAAGAATAAAAATCATATGATCATATCAACAGATGAGGAAGAAGCATTTGCCAAAATCCACATCAGCATCTAATTATGATAAAAACTCTCAGCAAAGTGGAGCTAGAGGGACTATATACCTCAACATAATAAAA